TGATGCTGCAATGTATATTATGGGAAAATTAAAGTGTTTTTTGACCTTGGATGTATGTAAACCTATTGTAGGACACCTTCAGAACTAAATTGGGAACCATTAAAATAGCATAATTGGGGCACTTTAATTTTAAAATGGATTAAAGAGTATACAAAGGAATGGAAGGTATATATAAACAGATTGAATAATGTGGTTTATAAAACGGTTAGTTCCAATCCTTGATTCTGATTGGTCAATAGCTGTGCTTTATTCACGATAAAACACGGCTATGACCGCTTCACCCAACGGTTCTATGTATCACTACACAACACCCCTAGCAACCACTCTTAGCAACTTAAACAGATGTTTCATCTCATTGATATTGTTCATTTAAAGCTAGAGCAGAGCATTGTGAGAGATCGAGTAAGCGAGTGTACCTGCATTTACAGTAGACGTAGCATTTTCCTTCAGGTCAGTCCTATATTCATAATAAAAAAATGCGTTTGAATGTCCGCTGCATATTTTGTCCTTTTAACAGTCATGGGGTTTTCCGTGCATAACGTTAGTCATCTGTCAGTTGCGTCTGTCTTCTCCGTGATCACAAGTTCGAGTCCTTTCAAAAGCCTTCTCTACAGACTCACTCACTCACTCACTCATAAAGACAGTCTTTGCCGCCATCTATTGGCGAAATAATATATGTAACTTCTGTTGCTGTTCACGTTCCGGGACTATTTTTTCCAGCGGAAGGCAGGCTTTTAGTGATTTTACTTCATGAAAGTTGCATAGATACATATTTTTCGGCTTTAATATTTTTATTGTGTGGCAACCGTTTTATAAAAGCAATAAGGTACTCGAGGCAAGTGCTGTATCGTGAATAAGTAACGGCTGAAGGGGTTGCAGGCACTCCGCTTCGCGTCGTGCCTAACAACGCCCTCCAGCCGTTACTTATTCACGATACAGCACAGCCTCTCGTACCTTATTGCTTACGTAAAACAGACACACACAAAAAAGAACACTCACAATCTGATTGGCTGAAAAGATACAATCACAACAATCACGAAGATACAAAATGAGACAATTTCCTTTGTGTTTAGGTCACTCACCATTCTCCTGGTGACCTTTTCAAGCTCTTTCTTCTGAGATGCCAGTCTGAAGATACGTACCAGAATCAATATCCTCAGAGATCTCAGGAACGTGACCACCCTGCAAACACGCCATATTAACATTGTTACATTAGTATAATATTGGAGGAAATGTAAGCATCAACCATGAATGCTTTCTGTTAAATCTGGTGTACCTGGGAATCAGGCTGGCTCCTGAGAAATCGGAGAATGCGTAGATCATGGTGACCACCAGGGTAATGGCCACAATACAAGCATCTATTATGTTCAGTTTGGAGCTGAAATACACCTTGAATCTGAGAAAGAAGATGATTTAAAAATGGTTGATCAGAGACTGCTATGGAATAGATCCTGAATATGTAAAATGATACATTTGCACCAGGTTTTGATAACACTCATATATAATCAGCATTAATGCAGAGCTTGCAGACCATTTCATTTATTTTTGTGCTTGCGCTCTAGGAAATTGTTCCAGAGAGATAAAACCTCATTTTGGAAAAACAGAAAGTGCCAGGAAAATGTGTTTCCTGTAGATCATTTCCTATCATGAGTGACTTGAACACTACAGCATTATTGGTTGTTGTTGTTAGCATTACGTTAACATTATGTGCTGACGACTTATAGTTTGCAAAATAATATTGAAAAACTACTAACCCCTCCACATAGACGCGAAGCAGCACATCAATGAGGAAAAAGAAGGAAATGACAAGAGAAACAGTCTCCAGTGCACTTCCAACATCACGACTCTTGTTGGAAAGGGACAAGTCCACAATGACTAGAATAATGTCCACAATGATCAGTATTAGGCCAAAAACACTGCAAATAAGAACAGAAGTTGCCTGTTGTATCATTAAAACATAGCCTAAAATTTATTTTTGGAAGAAAAAAATTAATAAATAAAAAAAGATCACAAACTTTTTTATTGGATTGTATAGGTCCTGTGAACTGCCTCTTTATATGACACTGAAATTAAATGATCCCACTCACCGAAATCCAAAGGACATCACAAAAGGAGTTATAATTTTCCGGACACGACTGCAAAATAAATCAAAAACAGAATGAGACATAAGAATATTAGTCTTAAGACATCACATTGTCAACAAATTAGTTCTTACTTACTGGTATATGGTGTCTGGCTCCTCATTCTCTTCCTTTCCATCATCGATCTGCACCTCTGCCTCTTCTTTCACCCCATTACTTGGCCAACATAGAAACAGTACAATATTACAAACATACAGCTTGGATCATGTGATTTTAGGAGCTGGGAGTAGTGCTGAATTACTCATTTAAAGTTGGGGGAGTAAAGGTCGTGATGCTGCTGAAGTGTTAGTAACGTTAATTAAATGTTATTCACTTACCCATTAACTTCCTTGGAATCTAACCCAGGGTTAAAATGCACGGATGTCATTTTTACAGGAAAGTTTCTCTCTGAAAGATTACAAAAAATTAAACATTCCAGAGGAACTTTAGTTCAATTAAAGCTGGTCTACTCAATAAATATGAATAATCAACATTGAGAAAAAGCAGACAGGTCTAACTAACCAAACATGACAAAAATGTACTTACTTTAGACCTATAAATCTTTAGAGGATCCACATGTAAGGTTTCAGATGTGGATTAAGAGATTTTTCTTAACCCATGAATCACTAATCCCAAAAGTTGTATGCAACACAAGGTTTCTAAATCAACTATGAAGCCCTAAATTAAATCCACATAATGTAATATAACAAGCAATTGTTTGTTCCAATCTGAACAAGATCATAGCAAAGAAATGCCAGCATTGGAAAAAGCGATACAAACCTGACAGAGAGAAAGCGCATCCGGGAAAACTATTTTCCTTCCTTTTGCTTGACTCGCAGCTTTTCTGCTATCTGAACAGTCACAAATTCCTCAAACAGTATTTTTGTCTCAATGTCTCCATGATTGTCTTTATGAGCGGTGACAGTCCCGTGATTTTCTGCGATAACAAAGGAAGGAGGTTCAAAGGTTAGCAGTAGCCTATAGTTTTCTTATGTCTTCCATCCACATTCACACATTTACACCGCCCCTTTTCTCACTCTTTTGATGCGGACGTAGCGGTTTTTTTAACTTCCTCATGCGCTTTACAAGTTAACAATCACACAAAATCAATGTAGACGAGTGGTAAAGGTGATAACAAAACAAAAAGGCTCACTGAGACATTATACAGCTTCGTAGTGTTATTAAAATGGTTTTAATTAAAGTGTGTGAGTGTGTGTGCGCGGGCTTCTAGTAGAAGTAGGCTATACTTTCTACTCTATTTTTTTATTTTCAACAATAGCATTATTTTTTTGTGAAAACAGCTTCGTAAAGCAACGAAGTAATAATTTATTTAACATCTAAAAAGTGCTAAAAGACTTAAGAATTAAAGGAACGGTTCATCCAAAAATTACAATTCCGTAAATGTTATGATTTTTTGCCCGACGCCCTCATATTTTCCAAACTCATAGCCTACGCTTCTTGCTTGTGTAGAACACATATAGCTATAGATTTTTTTAACCCTAAAACAGGCAACGTGACTCACGAGACACATCGTTTTTATTGTTTTTTTGGGGCATAAAAACAATTTTTTCATCAAATCATTTTATCACCTGGTCTGTCTTGAGTATGCTAGTGGTCACATGATTAGCTTCAAATTTTTTGTGATCAATTAGTCAGCCTGACCTAAATCCAACATGGCTGCCAGTGGTGCAGAACATTCAGATTTTGAGATAAGTAAATATATATTAAACTTACTTTTCTTCTGGAAAAAAAAGAAAGAATACTGCTAACATTAATTGTGAACATTGGTGCTGAAGGAGAAAATTAATGTTGTTCATGTTGTAACGCACGTTTTGAAATCTCCAGTAGCACTGTTCAAACTTAAATGATTGTAATTCAAGAATGCTTTGGAATATAGACCTAAGTTTGGTCTTGTTTTAAAGAAAACAGTCAGCAGATTATTGCTGAAGTGAAAGCATGAAAAAGTTATGGAAGTTTAAACTTACAGTAAATCAAATATACTGTAGGCTACTTAATATTTTTTTCTTTTTTATAAAATACATATTTTACAAAATATTTTTTACTATAAAATTACTATAAAATCAAAGCCATATATCTAACCAAGTTGTGTTCCAAATTTGAAGTTGATATCACAAAAATTGAAGTTCCCATGAGATTTTGTTTAGGCATATACCAAAAATAGCCACCGGCCGGGTGACTAACATTCCATTGAATTTAATTGTATGCATTAGGCCAGAACAAATTAGTAAATTTCTGTCCAAATATCACTTCTGTCACAAAATATGGAACCTTGAGACTGAGACCTTTCTGTTAATATGTGTTTTGTCAAGATTAGAAAAGGTTTTGATCATAAATTATGAAACATGACGATGCCCAACAGGGGAGGAGCCCGATAAAATATATTAGAATACCGTTTCTATGGTAACGCAACGTCCAATTTCAAAACGGGCTGAATCTTTAGTTCGTAAGCTTTCGAATGATATATCATTTGTCAACATTAGATCAGGTGAAGTATGGGATATAATTGTTTTAAACATGCAGTGGCAGTAACAGTTAACAGATTAATGACTTGGTCCTTTTTTTATACCCTAATCAGGCAACGTGACTCAGGAGACACAACTCATAAAATCCAAAATATATCAAAAAAAAAAAAAAAATTGGGGATATGTTTTATTTAAGTCATGAAATTATTTTTTGCTTAGCATTTTCCACTCTTGCCTGTTTAAGGGTTAAACTTGAAGCCTCAAAAGCACCATTAACCTATCCCAAATGGCTTATACACTATTGTGAATCATAATTGAAGATTGTGTTTTATGCGAAACAGAAGTTCCACATAAATTATAAAGAAAACAAAACTTTTACATTGCTGGTATGTGTGGAATGGGGGAAGATGAAGCATCTGACCCATAATGTGGACCAGGCGGAACCAACAGCCTATAAATATTAGAAATGAACGTCTGGAGGGCATTTCATTGACACATAATCTGGAAGAGGAAAGAACACCACGTTCTGTATGTATGCATTTATATTTAATAAACTTGTATTTGTTTAATTTATGCTACTTACTCTGCTAGCCTAGGCTTATTTTTTAATTTACTTACATTTAAAAACTTTAAATACTAGGCCTACTTTACTTTTTAAACATTACAATGTTTAACATTAATGCAAATTAAGTGGAAAGCTATGCTTACAGTTGATGTTTTTATACTTTGACAAAATTAACACCTCTCTATTTTCATGTGAAGAATATTAATAAATGGTCATGCCACAGCTGGTTTTTATCTTGGTGTTTCAAGCTCTTACATCACTTCAAATCTCAGTAAGTTCACTCTTTGACCAGAATGTTTGCACTACAGTGTCTGGACATTAAATAAATAACAAAAGTGTAATGTTGTCTATTTGTCAAGGCAGAGAAAGCATGCCAAACATCTGAAGTATCAACGCTGAAGAACGAGATTCGTATGCTGAATAATAAATTGTTGATTGGGGAATGGAAAGTTATGCATCTGCGTGCTCACCGTCGATTCAGGCTGGCTCCCAACCTGGAAATATCACTGGAATACAAGAATACTTCTGAAAACCACACTGAACCTTCACCAACCCTACCAAGTACTGGAGGCTCATTATTAGTTCATGACAAAGGTAAAGTTTAAACACTTATAAGAAACGTGTGCAAATGTATATTAGGCTATTTATAATTAAACCTTTTTAGAATTTTATGAGAACTGTTTATGAACAAATTGTCAAGTTAATAAAATTTTGGAACAGAAAGGTACATGCCTACTTTGTGATAAACAGAGAGTTGAAGGAAGCTTTAATAATATGTGTTTGATGGGAAAAAGCCAATCTCAAAATGGTTAAATCGTTGTATTATTATTTCTGTAATTTATATGTCCGTTAGATTGTACTGAGCTATATGACAGACTAAAACCAGGAAGCGGATTCTACAGGATTAAACCCAAACCGTTACTTGAACCGGTCCTTGTGTACTGCGACATGGATGATGGCGCTGGCTGGACTGTGATTCAGAAACGGATCAATGGGAAAGTCGATTTCGATAGGTAGCCTAGTCTTATGCGATGACTGTAATAGTGTATGTTTTGCTGACCGTTTTTTGTTCACATTTAGACCTATAAAAGGTCAGTATGATCAAATCACCATTTCTATTCACAGAAAGTGGGACGATTATAAAAATGGATTTGGCAATTTCCAGTCAAGTAAAGATGAATTCTGGCTTGGGAATGATCATATTCATGCCCTGCTCAGCGATGGTAAGATTTGGATAATGAGTTTATCACTCTGCTTTTCTGCTCTACAGTAATATTTTCTAAATCCTCTTTAGGTGAAAATGTATTGAAAATTGAACTGATGGACTGGAATGGAGTGAGATCATATGCCATGTATGGCAGCTTCAGAGTATCAGATGAAAAGGTAAGCTGATTTTGGTTCCTACCATTAAATCTTTAATTCCAGCCTTACGAAATGTATAGAGATGAGAAGTGTCCTGTTTCATCACGTTCCTCTCTGCTCACATCATTCCTCCTCTATCCTCAGGATAAATATAGGCTGCACTACGGGATGTACAGTGGTCAGGCGGGGGATGCCCTGTCCGGAGGAGCCAATATGGTGGAGCAGTGGTCAGCCTCTCATAATGGCATGCAATTCAGCACCCGGGACCAAGATCACGATCGCTACCAGCAAGGAAGCTGTGCTGCAGAGAACAGGGGAGGCTGGTGGTATAACAGGTGATGCAGAGGGCTTTCTGAATTTTTTAGGTGCAGCTTTTCGTATACTAAACACCCTGTTTTATGTTACCTGTTGCTTAATTACAGATGTCATGCTGCCAATCTTAATGGGAGGTTTTACAGAGGTGGAGAGTACAAAGCCAAATATGATAATGGTGTAGTGTGGGGCACATGGAGAGGACTGTGGTACTCTCTCAGACACACGGCCATGAAGCTCCGGCCCAGCTCCTACATGGACAACATAGGGAGTGGAGGAGGACCCGTGGAGTAGCAAGGCAGCTGAACAGTCTCATCGTGCACATTTGTGTATTTTACAGTGTAGTAACTGTAAGACTTACTGTAGTTTATTGAACCTTTCTGTCAACCACAGGACTGCCAAAATCAAGAAAGGATCTTATTAACTGATCTTGGTAAATTCAATGAATACATTGGCTTATCGTTACAAAATATTATGATTATGATTTGATATTAATCAAAATACTTTGTGTAAAAGGGTAAATAGAATCATAAATATTTTAACTTTGCATGCATTCATATAATAGCAATCTTAGTAAAAAATATGTACCATAATAAATCAACATCTAAACATACTGAAAGTCTTGATTGAGATTATGTATCAGACTATTTTTGTAATGTATCTCTAACGTGGTCAACAGTAAAAAGAAACATTCAGATAATAAATTCATATTTACATTTACTGTATGTATATTTTCATCTGTCATGCAAAACCTGAGAATTCACATTTTCCAGTGTACAAACAAATCCAAAGTATGTCATTCTTAAGGTATGGATAATATCAAAAATGGCTTTTCAAATTAATAGTCAAACCCCTATAAATAAAAATTGATCATAGATTTCACTTGAAGCACAAGGATATAAAGTCCACATGAAGCAAAATAACCTGCTTCATTCCAATAAAGCTTTGCTAAAGTTTGCTTCGGGAGAGTGTCAGAACCTCCCAGAAATGCAGGATTGTTTATGGATTGTTTATGAATTGTTATGAAGTTTATGAATGCTCACAACCTCTACTCCATCATCCTCACCCAAGTATCCAGAAATGTCCATCATGTGCTGTTCTGATTCTGTTAGACTATATGGGGAGTTGCTGTAGTCTGCAGAGAGAGGAAGGCTGCGACAGCGTCCCCTGCGCTGGTCTGAGGTAGAGAATGTGGAACTGCGTTGTCTTTGGCAGGTAGATGAATTAGCTTCTCGTAGCTTCCTGGCTAGTATGTTCCTCTGGATAGGCGAGGGACCTCTTCTGCTCCAGTTCTGTTCTGCCCGTTCAGCTCGATCCAGTGCGGAAGATGGGCTCCTGGCCACATGATGACGATCCACCAAGGGCTCTTTTGTTGGTGTCACTGGAACTGAATCTTTCGAGTTTGATTGAGATGGAGGAGTTTCAACCCATGGTCTTCTCCTGTGGTCCACTGAGCTATCAGTCATTCTAGGACTGGAACAAGACCAGACCTCAAGTTCAGGAAGCGTATGCTCCCAGGTTCTGCTTCTACAGCTCCCCTCTGGTATTTGGCGAGGAGTCACCTGGGTCATGCTTCTTTCTCGGTAGGGTCGGGACAGGGGAAACTGCTGCTGGTTGTTCTCGTGGAAACTTGAGGATCTCCTGAAATTGGGATTCTTGGAGTAGGGCACTCTACTACGCTCTACCATCTCCACCCAGTCTGCTGTGCGCTCGAGACGACGGATGTTAGCACTAAATGCAGACTTCGGTGGACCCAGCAACAAGTCCACCTTTTGTCTATCCGATAAAGCATTGTTTTTGGGAGACCACGTAGGTTCTGGAAAGGGAGACCTTATGCGGAAGTGGCTGCTGCTTGACTCTTCCGGGCTGTCAAGTTCTTGGGGTGCGGGAGTTAGACCGGCAGGGGTTGAAGCCGTTGCCTCTAGCACGGTGTCATCGACTGGACTCTGGGACACATGGTAGACTTTAGTGGCCTCTCTTAAGCCCTTCTTCTTCATTTCCTTGAGCTGCTGTTGAGCCAAGCGGTAGCCAAAAATAGGGGGAAAGATCTTTTGGCCTGAAGGAGACATTCTCTCTGGGTCTTGAGAAAGGGGAAGAGGAAGGGACATGCTCTGTTGACAAGCCAACACACCTTGGTCCGAAGGTGCCTGCTTTGCAGGAAAGGTAAATCCCTTCTGTAGAGGAGCTGCCTGGAGACTTTCAGAGAAACTGGGTCTCTGCATGCTGTGACCACAGATAGAAGCTTCATCAGAGTTCTTTCGGCCACTGGGAGAGTGCAGAGAGCCACGGCGCATGGAGCTGCACTTTGGAGCACGGCAGAGTTTTCTCCACACTGTGATAAAGATGGTGGCCAGAATCACAGCCAGGCACAGGGAAATCCCAGCCACTACCACTAGATTCCCAGCTAGGGGTGTGCTTGCAGCTGGCGGTGGAGTGAGGGGTGGAGGGGGAAGCTCCTCTAAAAAAACAAACAAAAAAAAGGTTTGTTCAGATGTCAAAAAATAAAATAGATAAAAAAGTAAGTAAAATGTTTACCAGTGCAGTCTTCTAACGAACAGTGAGACTGCTCCCTAACCATGCCAGTGCATTGCATCCCACCACTAGAGGGCAGCAGACATTCACGGACACGCTCTCGCACCCCTTCACCACACGTCACACTACAACCACTCCATGGCTGCCACGGTCCCCACATTTCTTCAGGGCAATGATACGGTATTGGAGATAGAAAATACATTAAAAATACTGAATATTACACACATAAACATCTTAAATTACATTACTAAATTGATTTTCTAATTGACAATGTAAGTAATGCTAATTCCAGATTAAAATAGCTATGTTTTGTAGATGCACAACAGGTAAAAGCAGACTCACTTGTATGCCTTTGCACAATCACACAGGTGTGTGCTAAACTGGGAGCCTGACTGTAGACGAGTGTGAAATGGAAGCAGTACTTATTTCTGCCGGGGTCAAAGATGGAGCAGTTAAACTCAGTCTCATTCTCCCCTTGCGTGAGGAAGTTGAAAGCCATGTGAGAAGAAATGGCCTTGTTGTTGTTACTCTCTTCCTTATAAAGCAGAACTTTTCCAATTGTAACTGTACAGGGAGGAGCGATTAGACGAACAGACACTGCTCCCTCACATCCACTTTTGTAAATGTTATCCACATGAAGCTTGTAGGCGAACATGCTGGACAGGTAAAGAGGACCAGAGGATTTAATGTCTTGCTGGGTGACAGGGGATTTTATGGAGATCTTGATGAAGCCACGCTCTGTCAGAGAGGACGCACATGGCATCTCCACATGTTGTGACCTAACTACTTTGATATCGTGTCTTGTCCGGTTCTGCACCTTCTCAATGGTGTTCCCCCTAATCTGGTCTTGTTCAAGGTAGCTGACGTCGAGGTGGAGAGTTGAAGCTTTGCTGCTAGAACAAGAATGGAAGTGGTCATTAGTGTACACACCTATCCTAATGTCATTAGAACTCTGGTTGTTGCTGCCACGATCCACAGCCAGGTGAAAGGTGGGCCAGTGCACATGCAGAACAGGACTCCACCACCAGATGGCACTTCTGTTAGACACGTCAAGGTTGTGCTTCTGCTCCAGTCTGAATCTGAAATTACCTGCATACAGGAAGCAGGAGCAGTTAAACTCCAGTGACCCTTCTGATTGGTTAAAGAGAAGTGACCTGGAGAGCACTGTAACATTCATGTCAATGTCAATCAATGACACTGTCAGTCTGTGGTTGGTGAAGTTGCTTTCAGTGTTGTAATCCACAAGCACACTGGCATTGCTCAAGGCAATGTGCATTGATGGCCAGAGATTGATACCAGCCATCGCTATGGGAAAGAAAATATAAATTGAAACCAATTAATAGACTTAAAACATAGTAGGCAAAATGTAATGAACCTGTGGAATTAAAATGTGTCAAGGAGTCAAGAATCTTCTCCTTATAAGTAGATTTTTACATTTTCTTAAATTTATTTAAGTAATCCTTGCCCATGCAAAACTTGCACTGATGCTATTGGTGGTTGCCAGAGTGTTGCTATGCGTTTGCTAAGGTATTCTGAGTGGTTGCTAGCATGCTGCAATGCAATTACAAGGCTGTTCTGTGTGGTTTGGGTCCAAAACTATATGTCCAACACTAGAGACTAAGTCTCTGGTAGTGGCCCTTTTCTGGGTCAGATCACTAAAAAAGCTAGATGACTGCTAACTAGGCCTGGAAGAAATGTAACTTTTTTGGCTTTATTGCTACTAAGTATGGCACACTCAGAAAACAACGTAGCTGTCACTGGGACGGTACCCTTTCAAAATGTACATCTTTGTACCAAAAGAATGCATATACCTCAAAGGTACATATTGGTACCAAAAGTGTACATAAAAGTGCCTAAATTATATTTTAGAACTGTTTTAAAGGGTACCACTGTCCCAGTGATAACCTTGTACCTTTTTGGTGCACTACAGCACCATTGTGACGGAGCACTCACATCAACCAGGCCATGCTTTAACTAAATTGTTTCTTAATCAGACCTGGATTAGACCTCATGGTTTGTCTCTGACATTACCATATCTTTTCTTTACATTTCAGGTTGTGCATTTTATGCCAGATGAAAATAGAAGGCATTATACTACTTAATAATAATAAGTTCTCAAGTTAATAATAATAAGTTCTCAAGTTAAGTTTTCAAGTTTAAGATAAGTTCTACTGGAGTATGAGAACTTGGAGGCATTGTGATTTACAGACTTTGTGTGTGTGTGTGGGTCACTTCCTGCAGAAAAAACAAATGCATCCAGGGGAAGAGAGTGCAGGAAAAGTCAGTGACCCTCCCTTCCCCCTCCCTCCATTTTACTCTCCAACTGAACCCGATTCACCACGGTGCACTTGAAACTGCCAATCACTGATCTTCATTTAAACATTATTTTGGCATGAGAAGCAGGGAATTTGGAACATATAACTGAAAATTTGTGCCGTTGTCATGATCCCTGAAGATGTAATGAGAACTACATATTTTATTACACCTGTTGCATTGTTTGGAGTTCTTTTCCTTTCCACAGTCGCCTTTAGTTTGCTTGTTAGGGGCATTATTTTCTATAAAAGCTGATTTGCCACACTCTAAACAATGCTGGGTTGTTTGAACCCAAATTTGGGTAAAATATGGACAAAACCAAATGTTGGGTTAAAAATGTAATTTCAAATTTTAACCCAACTTCAACTTTCACTTTCAACTGTAAATTTTTTAATTGCATTTTTAACCCAACATTTGGGTTTGTCCATATTTGACCCAAATTTGGGTTGAAACAACCCAGCATTTTTTAGAGTGCATGCAGGATAAACTTCTTTAAATGCAAGAACGCCTTCTCACCAAATCCCAACAGGAAGAGCAGCACAAATGGGGTTGCTGTAAGGAAACCCTGTGTCATTCCGACGTATGCAGCCTCTTATTTGTCCGCATCACCCCAAACCACTATTATTCTCGCTGTCCTGAAATAGACACAATTCAATCAGACACAAGGGATGAATCAAATACGTTCATTCTCAATACCAGTTTGTGCAGTCACTTGACTCTTTCATTGGACTATCAATTGGTGGAAAATGAATTTGAATATCTTCTTGATAATCTCACATTTTAACACATAGTACATAGACTATTCAGTAGCTGCATACATATACATTTTCATTTCATAAAATATGCTACACACAATGTCTTTTCTTTATTTCTTTTAAATGTATTGTGTCCATAAATTATTGAGCAAGGTTCAACCATGAATTTTTTTTTATACATAGGCTATATAAATTCCATATGTATATATTTTTCATTAATTAGCCTATTTTATCGTAAAAATAGAAATATTATATATAGGCTAAATTGTTGTTGTGACACTATATACACGTGAACACTATAAAAACACAATATAAGCATTTCCAGATATGTAGCCTATAACACTGATCTATTACAAAACAATAATAAAAAAACGGTTACACTTTATTTTAAGGTGTCGTTAATTGTTACAGTGTAATTATACATTTAAGTAGCCTACTGAGTAGGTTGTTATTAGGCTAATTAACTACATGTACTTACTATAGGGTTTAGATTAGGATTAGTTGCATGTAATTAGGCTATGTATAATTTATAGTAGGCTAATTACTATAGGAACTATATGTAACGTGAGTAAAGGACACTGTAAAAATAAGTATTATCAAAACAAAAAAATCGTGCATTCTACCACTTATGAACGAAACCAGTCAAACATGCGCAAATTAAAAGTAGCCTAAATATATATATAATACCTATATATAGACGTAGATGTTAGAAGTAGTTTACTTACATTTGACATTGAGTCGGATGAATACCGTCTGTTCTTGTATCCTTATGGGGCTGAAAGATTACCGTGAGTTTTGTTTATGAGCGTTAAATGATTGAACGTCACGGAGCGGTCCTGCTCTGAGACGCGTTCTCGTGAGCGCGCCCACAATTCAGAGACTGCGCGACCGTGAGCGCGCGTTGTCTTGCTTCCTCCACTGGTTGTTATTAGGGAAATTAAGTTAGAATGCGGTCTGGTCTCCACAAAAATCTATTTAGTATTTACGTCTGGCCGACGAATTACGAAGAACTGCGTTGAATACTACTAATTCCGACTCCCGAGAGAAAAAAATGCATATTACACACGTCCATTTCAATAGAAATCCCACCACAAAGTTCTGTGTGACCGCGCAGAGGTTTCTGCTTGCTCTAATACAGCCAATCCGCTACTATAGTTCATGTTACCAAACATAAATGTCAGAAGTAAGCAGTGAATCATCTGCTTAATATAAAATACCCTCTCCTCAATAAATCTCCTCACAATGGGGAGGTCTGTCTCAAGATGAACTTGACATTTCAGGTAAACTTTGAAGTGCATTAATATATTAAACTATATTTAGGAACAATCTACTCATTGTAATCTCAGTTGTCATTACTGACTCACATGTTTCGGTGGAATAGACCTTAGAAAAACAGTATTATTAAATTCCTCAGTATTAGCAATTAGTGCCAAAAAAGACCAACGACGTTGGTGAAACATCTGATATAATAAACAAGAATAAAAAACACCAATGAACAGAACATAATACACCAGAAATAATCAAGAAAGATAAATGAACACATGAAAGAAAAACCAAAGACAGATTTTTTTTTTTTTTAAAGAATAATTATTTTTACGTAATGTTCCAAAATAAGTGTGGAAGACTTTATGTTTCCATTAGGGGAAAGAAGAGTGTCAGATGAATTTTCTCACCAAGAGTGTCAGATGAATTTTCTAATTATTTTAGCACTAACAGTTTTTTCCTGAGTATAAAATCACAAGATTTCCTGTTTCTTTTCCACGTCTTGATGTACTGGTATATGTAATGCAAAATTACCTACATATTTTTATTGACAATCTAACCGCATTGAATGTGCTGGAATCACACACAGTATCAACATAACTGATTCCAACAAGAAACTGCATCCTCTGCATGATCATTTCTGTAATTCCCTATTCGTTAAAGGCTGTGGAAATCACTAAACATCTTACACACAGAAGAATGCAGTAACCTTAACCAACATTCATGAAAGACCCTATTGACAAACACAGTGGAAAGTGGGTGCCCACTTGTGTCCAGAGCGAGAGCTAATCAGTTAGCAGTTCTGAGAGGGATCTGGGGCCAACAGGAGCTGAGAGCCAGCAAGGTTCGATAACATATCGGCCTTGTGCGTCAGAACAGGTTGGGATAAAATCGCAGACCTTCTACTGAATCGTCTCGGCACAAGTGACCCATTTTTTCAGCTAATAACAACCTGTAAAAGAGAATAATACATCAAAATACCGTGAAGACACTTGAGAGATGAATTATTGATGAAATAAGGAAAAGGATGTCTCCTGTACCTTTCTTTAGCAAGGAGAACTGACAGTCCCAACAGCTTGGCAAACTCTTCAGCAGTGAGGGAGCCTTTATCAGACACCTGGGAAAATCAAAAGAGAAGGAAACCTCAATTAAACCAAATGCATTCCCAATAAAACCACCCCTCCGTGTTTTTAGATTATTGCAAAATCCTCATTATCACAATACACTGACTGAAGAATTAATTTATTATTTATTTATTTATTCATAGTAAAAAAAATTATAATAATTGTGATTTACACAAACATACAATTAAGTCCAAATAATCTAAAATACAATAGCTACAACCATGCTATATAAATAGTTTATACTTTAAATAATACATCATTTTTTCATTGTTTTTTGCATTACGGTAATGGCCATTTTTTGGGGAAACATTGAAAAGACATAATGAAAATGACATTGCAAAGCAAACCATTTTAATGGTTACTTAATATTTTAAAGGCTTCATTTTCTTTGAGCAAAATCTATTTTCTGATTCTTATTTTAGTGTGAAATATGACCCAGTTATGATCTTGACAGGTTATATATATACCAAATCTAATAGCTGAAACAATGTGAATAGAGCAATAATTGCCATCTCATGTCAAACGATCTTCAAATATGCTTTGTTTTTTTGAACATTCCTCTCCTTTACCACATCTGTCTTGGACTCTTCAGAGATGGAAATTTCTAATCTGACACGCCTCACGTTCCAGTTCTTTGACCTAAAACACCACCCCCAATCACATCTGCTAGCTGTGTCTTGTCCAAAACACTTTGAAGGTGGTTCATTTCATGCAATTTCTAGGAGAATGAAATGGGAAGCCTCTCTCACTCTCTGACCACGACCATTCAATAGAAGAGGAAGGAATTGGCTGTACAAGTTTGTGGTTATAGATCCGATCCAATTTCCACTCTAATAACCCGTAATTAAACATGACAGAAAGTTTCTGCATGATGTTTGAACGGCCACATAAGTGATTTCACAGATGGGGGAAAATGATGGCATGACACTCACGTTATCTAGAGCTGAGGCAATCATTTCCTCTTCACTGTGGGACTGGAGTTGAACAACCATCACCCCGCTGTCAAATACTCGCAACCTGACAGGGAAAGAAAAATGTGGTTTTTGTTGCTGGTTACTTAAGAACCCAACAAGACATTACTACTTCATAATCTAATTGTATGCAACCGAACTGTGGTTTATGAGTCAAATGGTTGTTTTCTTTTGAAAGTTGGAAAATGCAGCCAACAGACAGAGGGCGGACATGGGTCCCGAAAACAGGAAATCTGCCAGGAAGTGGCTGACCGATCCCACGCTGACCCGCCTCTGCCTACAAAGCCTGGCTCGTACAGACACATGCACATTCGTTCACGTTTACTCGCGCAATCACACATACAAATATAAATGCTCACACCCTTACCGTAGAGGAAGTTTCAGTGACTCAAACACCTTGCAGGCATTGACCAAGTCCTCCGGAGAGAGAAGCTGGGAAGAAATTTGCGAGAGGTTATTCGTCTTGAAAGGATTTATCCAGAATGTTTGTAAAATATTTATCAAAAAAAAAAACTACATACTACAACTACATTGATCTTTCTGCATATTTCATATGAGACATTTCAAATAAATGTAATGACTCTAAAAATGTATTGGGGTGTAACCATCAAGTAAAGGTCAAAAAAATATTTTCCTTACACGTGTACACATCTTACTCATTATTTTCTAAATGTTTTTTAAATATATTCTACCACTTAATGCTTAGTATGATATTTTTTAAAGAAATGGATACTTTTATTCAGCAAGGATGCACTAAATTGATCAAAAGTCATAGTAAAGACATTTATTATGTTAAAGATTTGCATTTCAAATACATGCTGTTCTTTTGAACTTTCTAAAAAATATAACAAAAAATATTACAAACTTTTATACAGTGGTGTATTTTTCAAGGTAATATTTTTTTCTTGTTAATATTTAGAATTTTTTATTTAAAAATATTAGGTTTTGTAGAGTCACAACACATGACATTTTTAACCCTGAACTGACCTTGCTATGATACAATGGTCAAATTATCTTTTAAATTATTTTTCCCTGCATGTTGGCTGCAGCATATGAGCTTGATTTGGCAGATAAAACATTTTTCAATTGAAACATTGAACTTTTATTAATAATAAAAGCCACTAGAAGAACCCTAAAAAACAAATCAATAAATAGTAAATAAAATAATAATAATATTAAAATAAATAAATAGATGTATATACTGTAAATAAAACAGAATAAGAAAAGTCTCTCTCCCCCCATGGAAGTCTAATCAGAAGGTTCTTATGCCTACGTATTAATAATTTAAACGTTTTTGAGTTTTTTCTTATGTTAATAAAGTTAGCATACCCCAGAGATGAACCTGAGAGCTAGTTTTACAAAACGCGGTGATGTAGTCATATACATGCAAACACGTCATGCTCTGATTTCATGTGAGAGTTTGCTCTCTACTCTCCAGATGGCTGTTCCATCATCAGCTTCACTCTTAATGCTGCTGGAAGAAGATCAGGATCAGATCTGATTAACACTGATTCAGCTTCTGTCTTGATTGTAGCGGTCCAGATTCATCTTACCTCCATCCCACGGGCTCTGTTCACCAGACAGTACACTTCAGTGAGGGCCATCATTCCTCCACGCTCCTACAGAGACAGATAATAAAGATCAGTAGAGGCAGAGGAAGACTAAGGAAGGAAGGATAAAATTCACATAATGACAAAATGTACAGCCAGCTGATCATTATTACAAATTAAACCCCAACAAAATTAAGATTTTTGAGATAATGATGAGCTGACTGTACATTATCATGATTAATACTCACCAAATAAATCAACAAACAGATATGAAATATTAAACTCAGTTGCAATTACTGTACTAAGAAGAATATAGATCTAGATCTGATAAGCATGTTTCATAGAAATCATAGAGATGCATATAAACACGCACGGTTTATCACCTCCAGTGGGGCTTGCAGCATGTCTCCCAGCTGTTTGGCGAGTTGGATGTGGTACTGTGTGCCAGAGCCGTGTGTCTCTCTGGTCACTGGGTTGGCTATACCCATACTCAGCAAATAAGACTTGAAACGGATGGTCTGTCAGAAGGCACACAAAACAAACATGACTAATTTAATTGCAGCTCTACACTAAATATATAGCCTTCTAACAACACTGCGAATTTCTAACAGCCAGTTTTAGCATGTGAACGTCAACATTTCAACATTTTGCATCTACTCATTTTGAGATGTGCCAAAGTTTTTTTCCTCATCTGATTATGGACTTGTGTAATAACAGGTCATTTTCTGTCCAATAAATATTTATATGTGTCCATTTGGATGCAATCCTGCACTTAAGAAACATGCACCATATGCGCTCTGATTGGTGGGTCTCAATCCTGGCTGCTTTTCAGCTCGATTCTAAGTTCTATTTGTGTCACG